TGCCGCATAGACACTACATATTTACAGATATCCATGCCTTCTCCGGGATTCGAACCCGGGTCCTTCGCGACAGCAGTCAGCAATGTAACCAAATATTAACAGAAAATTCAATTATTAGAGCAACATTTTACTGAGCGGTTAACGAAACAGTTACTGGTGCAAGATACTGAATATATGTGTCAATTTTCCTGAGCAGCCTAACCGGGATAGATGTTAGTGACTCTGACTGCTGTACCGAAAGACCCGGGTTCGAATCCGAAAGAAGACATGGATGTTTGTAAATATATAGTATATAGTTTGTAAATATATAGTATCAGTAGCGATACGCTAAGAGACTCTTTCGGTGCACTCGACGACCCACTCGGCACTCGCTGCCCAGCTGTCAACTCGATCGACTCCGCAGTGATTGACTTACTAGACGAGACACCAACTCGATACTAACTAACTCGCACACCAGACGAGGCACTGTAAATATATAGTGTGGCTTGAGCGCACTCTAACTATGCGGCGAGCCGAAAGTCCTCTCGAGAAGTTAGTGGTGTGGAAAGAGGGATCAGAGAACCTAGGCGATGAATACCATGGGCTTGAGCTGATCATTGTCAGGCTAGTGAGACTGTAACAACTGAGAAGAAGAAAACACTCCGGAAAATTGAACAATTAAGGAAAAATGTCATCATGTCAAAAGGCAAAAGCTAAAAAGTCTGGTCTGTACGTATTGAGTCAAGAAGTCTTTAAGTGAATTAGAAACCAAAATAAGGAAGCAATTTTATCGTGCACAAAAGACTGTTGAAAACTTTTATCATTCTTTAATTCTGAGTCCCATATCAATGTTATAGTTCACTCAATGGTAACGTTGTTTTACAGTTTCATTTAATTTTAATGATACTTTTTAAAATTTATTATTAATTTACTCATTTTTCAATTCTTCTTGTTTTATTTAATTTAATTTATTTATTTCAATGATATTTTAATTTAATTTTTATATCAGTATAATTAGTTTTTATTTAATTTATAAATATTTTTATTCATTTTTTTAAATTTATTCAATTTGAATCGCATATTAGTTACTAATTTATTTACTTATTTTTGTTCACTGTTTCTGATAATACTCAACAGGATTTCGGTATTTCTGATTTTAGAAATTAGCGTCGTTTAAATACCATGTTATATGGATTTTCCCTCTGTCTGTCTCTGAATAGGAGACATTACAAGAGGCTCTAGACATGCTAGTTTCTGCACTTTAATAGTAGTATTTCATTTTAACACTATTAAATTCTCTTCCTGGTTGCTCCTTTCCCTCTAACTGTGTTTTATATTTTCTCCTCGATTGCACATAGAACTGCAATGAGATAAACTAGGAGAAATTCATGCAGAGGCGTGAAGATTTTAAAAAGTAGATTATGCAAGATACTAAAAAGCAGTTCCCATTCTGGAAATCGATTTTGGTTTCAATCTTCTATCCGTGTGTTTCAAGAAGTATAAATTATTTGTCATTCAAGAAGTATAAATTATTTGTCCTATTTAAAATTTTTCAATTCCGACTTTTTCAAAAAAAATATCAGATTAGTATTTAATGTAACATACCAATTTCACATGTAAGTTAAGGAAACTGTTAGCAATGATTTCATCGTAATTAAAATAAGAACAAATAATCATATTGTAAGTTTAAAAGGTCTCACTTCTTTTTATTGTAAATTGACTCGAAAATGTATCCACCTACGGTTTTAAGTACACGAACAGTTGGATTTCACGTCATGCGGAAATTTACACAAAGTTGCAATAAAAATAGTGTATAATTTATGAAGCTGTAAATAAAAAATTCAGCTCCGTATTGCATACTTACGGCAACGATGTGCAATTTTAAGATTTCATAAGAATGAATCTAGTGAAAAATCAAATTGCATGCTTGTAACCGGCGATTACCAGAGGGGGGCTCATTTCAACTACTATCTTTTCTATTAGTCGCCATTAGATAGCCTAACAATAGCAAATGAAAACTTAAACAGCTTTCAGACAGACCAGCAGATGAAAATCTTGAATTTACTATTAACTTAAATTCAAACAAGGAACTATTGCTTGTAGTTGTATTAAATTATACTCAGATTTTTTTAAATCATTTACATATATAGCCAGAAAGTTTCCTGTCGTTAGTATTAGATAATGCGCTACACACCTTTTCTCATCTCGTTCTGCAAAACACCAAATTGCACTTCTGTCTGCGAGTACAGCTTCCTTTATTCAGCTTTAGATTAGAGTATTGTAAAGTTTTCAGTAATCTTTTCAGAAAAGATGTCGTTTTAAAAATGATAAACAAATTTACATCTTTGACGATGCAAGCATTTCAGAAGAAATAACTATGTCGATACTATTCGATATTATAGTCAGTACATGCAGGGAGGTAAAACACAGTTAAAAATTCTTGCAGTAATCGAAAAACGAAAGGATAGTTTAAATGACGGTAATATTCAACATGGATATAAATTAAATCTTACAGTAGGTTTTTCTATCTTAGCGTTAATAAATCTGAAATGCTGTTATTAAACAAACTCTCTAGTTAACTATGCATTAAAAAGAATTTTTTAAATCAGTTCTTACTTTTATCCAAATCTGCTTCAAACTTCGAGTGCCAGTTTAAGCATTCGAAGTCTTGAGGATTTATTATTGAAGTAACTTCGTGCAGGCTGTTCGCACACTTTTTAGATGCTTTTGCTTTGTTGTAAAAAAATAATCTTCTTGGAATTTTTTTAACTGCAGCTATGTTTTTGAAAATATAAATTATCATCTGTTTCTTGACAGTTTTGTTTTCATGCAAAGTGGGTTCTTAAAAAAGCAATGAACGGAAGGCTATGCTTGTGAACTTTCCGAAGAAAATTATTCGTATCTAATTATTAAAAAACTTTGTGAAAGCTGTGGTTTTTTAATATCTAAAACTTCTATAGATAATATTGTCAACAACAAAAGAAAAGGGAAGAAAAGTTCAAAGTTTAGCTTCAAGTGGAAAAATTGCTCCAAATACATATCCAAGGAGAAAACGGAAGGCTTCGATTGTTGCAAAAGTAAGATGTCTAATGTTATAAAAATTCCGCCAAGCCAAATAACAGTTGCAAAATCACTGAAATGCTCAGTGTCAACAATAATAAAGTGACTGATGATGGCGGGATCTTAAAGAGGCGAAAAGACATCGTGCATCTTCTGTCTCCCCGACATATTTCCGAATGCAGAATGCGCTGCAAAATTCTTTATAAGAAACATTTATTCGGACAAAAATGAACGAATGTTGTCACATTAGATGAATCTTGTGTGTAAAAGTTTGAAAAAAAAAGTTTAAATGACTGCAATAAAAAGAAATCCATTTATTTTCCTCAAACTAAAACTAAACTCAGTGGCGTAACAGCCCTAACGGGCCAAGGCCTGCAATGCCCAAAATTTGCTTTCTTGACTGTGGGCCCCGGGGTGCGTAAGCATATGCCCTGAATAAGTGCTCAGCTTGGACCCCCAGTGCTTAGTCCCCAAGTGAACTTGGTACTCATTTTATCGACCCAAGTGATGGAAATCAAGAGATGAAAGGCTGAGTCGACCTTGCCCAGCCCGGGTATCGAACTCCGGACCTGTAGCGCTGCTGCGCGATGCGCTAGCCACTGCGCCACTCGGCCTTTTATTATCATCGAACAGGAGGAAAAAATCTTAAAATATGGTTCAAAACCTCTAAAGAACGTTTTTCAAAGGGATTTGTGATTGCTATTGGTTTTTCATATAACGGCAAAATAAAAAATAAAGAGAGCGGAGAAAAATGTTAAGGTCAACTCTACATACTATGAGAAACATATTTTAGACCCAATTCTCAAATATCATATACTTCTGCTTACCCACAGTGCTATCAATCAAAAGAACTTCATCGAGACAAAGCAAGCAGTCACACTTCAAAAATTCATGTTAATTTCCTGGAAAAAAAGGAACACACACACACAAAAAAAAAAAAAAAAAAAAAAAAAAAAAAAAAAAGGTATCAAGGCCATACCCGTTCCCTCATATTCCTACTATCTCATGATGTATCGTTCATTGATTTTTGAGCTTCTGGAATTTTAAAAAGCACATTTCCAGACTTAAGCTCTCCTTGGATTTTTGGAAAGCTGTTCAAGAGGAATGGGATAAAATACCTCTTCCGCTACTAAAAAAAGCTTTATTGCTTTGGAAATTACGATGTAAAAATATAATGAAAAATAAAGGTATGAATTGAAACATTTAAAACACAAATATTTTAGGCAAAATATTTCTGTATATACAATGAAAATCGTTTAAAATATGCGCAATCTGTCTTTGTAATTTTGCGTTTTAAGGAAGAATAATTACGTCTATACCGATATTAAAGTATCAGTTATTTTTTTAAATAAATGTATTAAATTAATGCCGTTACTGTTAAATGCGTATGTAAAATTATTTAATATTTCCTATAAGTACGCCTGCAGAAGTGCAAGAGTAGTTCGGTATGACGTCATTCAGCATGATGACCTAGCATAAAAACAAGAAATATTGTCCACTTTGAGAAATAAAAAAATGATCATATTATCCTTACAATTCTGAAATCGAAATAATTAGTTAAAATTTAAGCAGCCTAAATATTGTTGAAAGATATTTGAATAAATAGAGTATTTTTATTAGGTACGAAAGAAAAGACAAGATCTGTGAATACAGATAGAATCAATTCTTTAAATACAGCTAGATATATTTGGCTATTAATTCAAGCCGCTATTTGGCTATTAATAATTTCTGCTAACGGGAATTTGTCTCTATAGATTATAATCTCGATTGATATAATTCTGCAAAAACGAGCTAAATTTTTAACAAGCAAAATTTTTTCTACATGACATTTTTCAGTTAATACGTATCTACAAGAACTAGAAGAAAGTCTAAAAGTTTACTTCCTAAGCAGTTCCTGCAATACTTATGGAAATTAAAGAAAACTTGAAGACACTGCTGGTATTTAATATAAAATATATTACCTGACTCATTTTGTAGCTTTTCAGTTTAAATTGTAACGGTAATCCCGCTCTCGCCGTCTTAAATGCTGTAAATTATCCAAAGAATCTTCTCAATGTTAATATTTCACAGGGTGTTCATCCAAATGTTCTTTAAGCTGCGCTCCGGAAAAAAGGGCAGAAAGCAATAATGTTATTTAGATTACAGTGACAGAACTTTCACTTTTATATACAGGAGTCTATAATATCTGCTCAAACAATCAGTCACACCCGGCTTGGTACGATCTCTATCACAAATGGCAGTTCCAGAAATAGATGGAAGCATCATTTTTCTTCCCAATTTTTCTTTTTTACGACATGCCGCTTGCGGCACCGTTTTCGTTTTACTTTTGTTTGTTGACGTTCGTAAAGAACCCGGCGACCAGAGAAACAAAAGATGAAGAAGAAAACTACACACTGCTCTACATATATACATACATTGGCTGAAGAATCGGCCTCGTCAAGGTTGTTTTGGGAACTGTTTTCATCCTCAAATAAAAAAGGCGTTTACCATAATCTCGAAACAGCAGGCCAGCGACCAGAGGAAAACCAAGTGGGGCGAACAGCGAAAAGGGGGGAGGGCAAAGAAAAAATAAGAAAAATAGGGAAGGTGAGTGGGAAGGGGATGTTCTAAAGGGGAAGGAAGAGTCCGGTAGGGATGGGAAGATAAGCAGCGGATACCCGGACGTAATCCCAGGTAGTGTCTGCCCACTGCTTCGGGCAAGCGCAAAGTACCGGGTTCGCTGACTTGTTTCTTGCACTTACGTTGAGGTGCAGATCACCTGTTGCTTCTCCTGACTTCAGCACTGAACAGTAATTTATGGACTAATAAAAGGTAGGCGATAAATTTCATCACCTCCGAATTCTTGAACTCTTTGAGAATTTTTCTCTTCACTTTCAATGGTTTGGCTTTGAAAATCATAACTTGAATTACTTGAACTTAAACATCAATTTCGACTAAAATAGACTACTAAGTGAGGGCTATCTGCCAAAGTAAAGATTCCTTTGCGGGGGACATTTTAAGGGAAACTAGATAGCATTCCTCTACCTTTCGACAAAAACAACAAAAACGCCCAATCAAGCCTAGAAAATGGTTTTTGTGACCAGTTACCAGCATTCAGTGGTTTTTGCTTACATTCAAAGGTGAACATTTGTCAAACACATTTAATTTTGACGTGAATTTGACGTAAAAAACCTAATGACTCTACAAAATAATTACATCTTATAGAGCACCTCATTAAACTCCCTGTATATATATGTCCTACAAATATCTCACTTTACTTATATATTTTGAAAATTACATTCACATATATCTATATATTCAAAATATATAAGTAAAGTTGTAGAGAAATTAGGTATTTTTGGAAACAGGAGAAATGAAAAATTTGCAACGCCTTCGCCGAGAATCGAACCGCGGACCTCTCAATTACGCGTTGAGCGTGCAGACCACTACACGAAGGCTCCCTAAGAAGGCGGGAGAAATACCTTAACTCATTAATACTATATATACTCCTCCTTTTAAAGGACGACTGAGGTTTTCATGGGACCCAATCGCCAAATCCTGGGTGAGGAGAATCCTCATCCAACACCCTTTTAGTTCGGGGGCCATTATCAGGACTGGTTGAGCGTCTAATTTGTTTAGGGAACATCTGATGTCCTGAATGGGGACAGGGAGCTTACTCAAGCTATCTCCGAGTATGTGTGGAATGGACAACACAAGCAGAAAGGGTTAACTTTACCCTTTATTCTCCACGATATTACAGGCGCTCCCGCACTTCAGGATACAAAGACCAACCACTTGCGGTCTGAACGTGAAAGAACTAGTAACTAACTAAATTTAAATAACAGCTAAACTTTCTGAATACTTTATTCAATTCTGTAAAATTCTGGCATGGACAACTATAGGTATTTATATTTATTTTAACTAACAAGTTAAAGCTTAGAACTTTTCTATAAGCCTTCATTCCCCTAATTGGCAATGCCAGAATAGTTAAATTTTGTAGCGCGCGTGAAGGAATGCAAATTTCTACTTTGCAGGAAATATTTAAAAGCCGAGTTTCGGCAGGAGAAAAGAGAAAGTTAGGCTCTAACCGCCACCTCTGTAGATATGCTTGCTTATTGCTGGTTCAAGTGGCTTAATTACATTTATTTGCTGCCACTAGTTTCGAAGGGCGTTTAAGTTACGGGATCTCACTGAGTCCTGTAGTTTCCTGCTACTCCAGTTTTCATACAGAAGTGCATCTGTTAAACCCTACATTGGCTCCCGAATTACTTCGCGAAGATGGCCAACGAAGAAGTATCTTCACAATTCTCGGAAGTGGCCGACCCATTGGTGACCTGCTCTCTACATGGATTTATTTTCCTAATACAGACAATGAGGGTAGCAATTAAACCAGCAGTGGTATTCGACGGCAAGAACTCGGAACTCCGTCACCTCATTTCTAGAAGCCCTTGATATTCACTTCCAATTGTATCCGGTACCGGAAAGACAGAATTTAGGTATTGCCCCTAGTTTCCTCCATGGACAGATGAAGACTTGGTAAAGGAATTGGGAAGTTCCCTCTTGGAGAAGTCGGAAGCATAAACTACCCTTTCGAGAGTTTCAAAGCGGCACTCCTAAAAGCATTCCCGATAGTTCAAAATCGTGCGAAGCTTGAAGCCGAACTATACAGCTTTTATCAACGGAAGGTTGAAGAACTGACAGAGTTTACCCTGCGAAAAGTCAAGCTAGTAAACATGCTGTATTATAGGAAACCCGATAGCGAAGTCATTGAAATCATACTACCACGGTTATTACCCTCTACTCAAGACTTCGTGAAACTCCGAAATCCTCGAAAGCCGGAAGAATTATTCGAATTAGCCGTAAAGTTTCAGAATCGGCGGATAGCAGAAGAAACAAGATTTCCTGCCCAGAGATGTAATCAGCAGTTCTCCCGACAGCCGGCCTCGGAAAGGAATAAGTACAACGGAGGAAAACGTTTTTCAGTTAAGCCGTCAACGAGCAAGAATGATAAGGATGAAGCCAAAACCCGTCAGCGTACCCAGAAAACATCAGGAGTAAAAACGCCTTTAAACCAATAGAGAGACCTGAGAATTTGAAGGTCCAAACCCCTTGGGCATCGAAAAATCCCTCTGAAATGTATGTGAATACTGTGGTAGTGAAAAGTTCCCAATTGCCTGTTAATACAGGTTCTTCTGAACAATATATCCGTAGAAGAACTCATGGACACCGGAGCTGAAGGCAGCTTCCTAAATCTAAAGTTTTATTACAGAAATTTTAGAAATGTTGGGTTATTTAAAAACAATACGATTGAAATAATAGCCACTCAAGGCAAAGTGTGCGAATGCATTGGGAAACTGTCACTTAACGTGCAGGTTAAGGAAGAAAATCTTAAAATACTATTTTACGTGGTGAAAAATTTGCAAAATAAAGTAATTCTGGGAACTCAATTCCTTAGGGCCGCAAACGCAAGAATTGATTTTTCAAGTAACTCAGTTACGTTAGACATGGAGCCAAGGGTAATGGAAGCTGCTTAAAAAGTTCCAGAAATTGAACTCCAGCATCTAAAGCAAGATGAAAGAGACAAGCTGCAAGAAACTGCTTCCGAAACAGAAAATTACGGTAGCAAGAACGGCGGTTTCGGTCCCATCAGCGCTTCCACCAGAGGAAAAAGAAAAAAAAACCGAGGAGATGACAAGGCCACAAACAACTCGAAGAGCCCCCCCCCCAGAAAAGAACGCCACGACATATGGAAGCTCCAGCGGGGTAAAAAATTAAGACTACAGAATCGTCGAGAAGAAAGACCCCAGCTACGAACAAGGATAGCCGTGTCCTGACAAGGTCTCGCAGGAGACAACACCAGAATACGACTAAGAGGCGGTTTAAAGAAAGAACTACAAGACCACGGCTGGGTAGAACAAAGAGACCAGCCGAGGCTCAAGACTCACAACACGACCCGAAGCAACCAAGAATTACCACGCAACAGTCTTCAACTACTGACGCTCCAAGAACCAACGTTCGGACAAAAGAAGAGGACAGAAGCCCCCACCATTCCAGTCAAAAGGGAAAAAAGTATGCTTAGGGAAGAAAAAAGGCAAGACCGACACGGGAGCGAAAGCAGCGATTACGAATTGCCAGTGTGAGCAACCTTACATGGAGCCAGTTCTGCAATAAACAGATTTTGAGAATACCAATCAACGAAACGCAAAGATAAGGGAATTTTCAATAAACCTTTTCTGTTTGTAAATTTACACGTTAATCTTTTCAATACGAAGTTACATGTTAATCTTTTCAATACGAAGTTACATGTTAATCTTTTCAATACGAAGTTACATGTTAAATTCAATTGCCTCGGAGGAGAACCAAAATTAGTTTAGTTTTATTTGACGAAAGCACAAAGCTATGTTGTATTGGAGAAATATAACGTTAATGCAAAGAACAAGTAGGTCAGGTTTTGCTTGTCGAAAGACTTGTTATGTTAACACAACCAAAAGTTCTGGTCTGATGCAAGCAGCTTCGTATTAGTACTTGTGAATGAAAATTTGTTTTTAGTTTCGCTCTTCTGGAGAGAAGAAAAGAAGTCAAGTAAAATTTTCTTTTTCTCTCATTTTATTCTCTAGTATTATAAGAGTATGTGATTGTAAAATGTGAAAATATCTATTGTGCTAAGGTAAATGATATTGTAAGAGCATGTTTAAATTCCAAAGAAATTAGAGAATAATTATGTAGTGCGAAAAGCCTCGAAATATGTTTAAAAGTTAATGTATTTTAAAGTGAATATACTTAAATGTTAATGTATCTAAAAGTTAATGTATGCAAAAGAAAATCTTGAATTTAGGAAATTTTAGCCAAATCATATCATGCGTTTTCGAGCAAAAGCTTGCATGTTTTTAAGCTCGAATGTGGGAAAAATTTACTATGATATGAATGTGTTTTGTAGGGCTCTCCACTAACACTCCAGTTAATTTTCCTGTTTATTAGCTCATTATGAATTAAGATTTGAATTAGGGAATGTCTTAGAAGGCTGGTATGTGCTATGAATTGTGTGTTTAGGTGGAGAGTTTGTTCACTTTCACATATAGCACATGCGTTTCACACCACACATTGTGAAGAGCCGAAAGGGGATTAAGCTAAAGTAAAGCATGACTGTGGATTAATACTTGCGTCCCTTAAAAACCGCAATGTTCGGTAAACTTATGAAAGTTACGTTAAATGCTAGAGAGATAGAAATCTAATTAAAGAATCAATGTTTGTAAAAATAAAGTGTCATAATTTGTATTCATAAGTATTCCTTTTTAGATACCTGGAAAGACAAGACTGAAACAGCTAAATGAATAAGGAGAAGGAAACAAGCTAAGAGAAAGGAAAAGGAAGAAATACCACTAAATATTAAATTTTTGTTATT